GAGACGAGCAGCCGAGAGGCTGACGCGCACACGGTTGCCGCGGAGACGAGCAGCCGAGAGGCTGACGCGCACACGGTTGCCGCGGAGACGGCGGTCGAGCTGGACGCGATCACCGTGGAGATGCGCGACACGTCGCCGTTCCGCCGTGACGACGGCAAGCGACAGCACGTGCAGCAGCAGGACCGCAGCGATGCGGGGGCGGGGGCGGCGGCGGCGGGGAGAGCGTCCCCACCGTTCAGCCGCGCGGACGAGTGCAGGAGGAACCTGCGTGGGATGCGGGGCGAGCACGGCAGGCCCGCGGGGGACCGACCGCGCAGCGAGGACTTGGTGCTCATCAGCATGCCGGACCCCCCCGCCGCCGCCGCCGCCGCGAACAAGTCGCTCCCCACGATCGACGAGCCGGGGCGCGCCGCGGAGACGGCCCCCGGGGGTCGTCGCCCCGCCGCCGCGGTCGCCGCGCCGCCCGGCAGCAAGGAGGAGCTGTCGCAGAGTGACGAGGGCGTGCTGACGCAAGACACGAGCCAGGAGGACCTGCTCCCCGGTGACCGCCAGCATCCCCCGGCAACGACCGCCGACTCCGAGGACAGCAGCGGCATCCTCGACGACGCCGACGACGCGGAGCCGGACCGCCAGGGGGCGCTGGCGGCGGACGGGCACGTCGCGCGGCGGAGGGACCGACGCGCGTTCGGCAAGTCGGACAGCGCGGGAGCGATCGTCGACGACGACGCCGTGGCAGCGGCGCGGCGACTCGCGAAGGGACACAAGAAGTCGCAGTCGTTCTCCGTCGTCGTGGCGACGCCGACGACGGAGGAGGCGTCGTCGCGGCGATCGTACGCGGAGGGCAAGCCGGCGGCGCCGGACCTCGCTCGCAGCTTCTCCGCCGAAAACCAGCTGATGGTGCGCAGCAGCGCGCTCGAGCCGGGGTCGCCCGGCTCCGTTGCCGCGGCGATGATCGCCATCGGAGCGCAGCGGGAGATGCACAAGGCGATCGCCGGGAAGCTGGAGTCGCCGGACGTCGCCGCGGCAACGCCGGCGAAGCCCGGGAAGTCGCACCAGGGGGCGCGGACGGGGCTGTCGCGCATGAAGCAGAACATCCGCAGCGTGTTCGGCGGCTCCGCGAAGCCGAAGCCACGAGAGGGCGCCACCGCCGACGACAGCGACGATTCGCAGGCGGACGACGCGGCGGTGGCAGACGCGGCGTCGCCGCCAGAGGGGGCGCCACTGATCTTGCACCCGGGCGACGCGATGGCGCACCGGCTGAAGGCGACGAAGGCTCGCCGCGGCGACACGTGCGCCGCCTGTCGTCGAGCCGTCGTCGCCGGCAGCAAGGCATACAAGTGCGCCGCCTGCAAGGACGTCTACCACGCCCGCTGCACGCCCGTCGCCCCCTGTCCGAAACACGCGCGGGACAGTGGCGCCCCCCGGGAGAAACCCGCCGCCGCCGCCGCGAGGAAGCAG